GAAGCCATCGCGCGTATGTATGTGAAAATGCATTTTCGTGTGCTTACAAATCGAATGACTGTGAAGCTGCAAAAAATCGCATTTTTATTTTTTTATTATTTTATTTTACATTTGTATGTATGTGTCCCATACACGCAAATAATATCTGCATACATGCAAATTAATTTTATTTACATAATGATTTCTTGGTTGACGGAAAAGAAACGAGTGTAAATGTGTGTACGTACATGCATACATAATTTTGTTTGGAATACTAACGAAATTCATTAAGTGACAATTTTTTATTTTTATTATATTAATATTAATTGTATATGTTTATGTTTTAAGATCACTGTTCACATACGTTTTTAATGTTTTAGTAAAATAACTAAACATTTCTATATATATCACTAATCACGCCTGAAGATGAGGGTCTTACTACCCTTGTCAGGAGCAACACTGAGCCAGCAGGCCATTCCTAGCCTAGATTTTAATGTTTGAAACTGCGGCTTCTGATTTCGAAGCAAATAAATACAAATGTTAAAAAAATAAAAATCTCACTGAATTTATAACAAGAGTCATATCTCGATTACCAAGCTATTTGTTGTATTTATCAGGTGTACAACTTTGCTTCCGCCGTTTTTTTCCAAAATTAAAAGCTTTATTGCGAAAAAGTGCTTACAGATATATTATTTAAAGTATTGTCCTTCGCTAGCGACAACTTTCTCCCATCTTTCCGGCAATTTTCGGATCCCGGCTCGAAAAAAGGAGCCCTCTTTTGATGCTATTCATGAAGCAATCCATTTTTCCAATTCTTCGAAGGATTAAATTACATTTTTTTTCCATTATTTGTTTTATTTATTTTTTTTATTTATTTTTTTATTTCATTTTACTTTTTTATTTAATTTTTTCATTCTATTTTTAAACTGATTTTTGCATTTTCTCTTATTTTTTTTATTTTGTAAATTTAATTTTTTATCAATTGTTTTAATTTTTTTATATTATGTTATTTTATTTCATTTTACTTTTTCATTAAATTTTTTTATATTATTTTGTGAGCTAGTTTCAAATTTTTTTTTAATTTTTGTAGCTTATTTCTTTTATTTATTTATTTTTATTTAATTCAATGTAATGTAATTTGATTTCATTACAATTTTTTTATATTGTTAAATTGTGTTTCTTTAAGCTTTATTAATTGTAATTAACTTTATGTTGTATTTATCGTTTCTTTTTTCATTTATCTTTTTATTAAATTTAATTTAATTAATNTTTATTTTATTTTATTTTATTTTATTTTATTTTATTTTATTTTATTTTATTTTATTTTATTTTATTTTATTTTATTTTATTTTATTTTATTTTATTTTATTTTATTTTATTTTATTTCATTTTGTTTTATTTTATTTTATTTGATTTTCTTTTCTTTTCTTTTCTTTTTAATGTTATTTAATTTACTTTAAGTTCCTTTATTTTGATTTGGTTAATTTTATTTTATTTTTATTCAATTATTATATAAATATTAGGTTATTTTTGTTATTTTCAAATAACTATATATTCTTTATTTGTTTTCGCTTTATTTATTTGATTTTAACTTTCAATTCTATTTTGCCTTATGTTTTTATTTCATGTTATATTTTATTTTAATGTAATGTAATGTAATGTTTCATTTAATTTAATTTTTTAAGTTAATTTTATTTTAATTGTCCTCTTTATTTTAATTTATTTTTTATTTTCCATCGTTTTTTTCGTTAATTTATTATTCAGATTTGCGCTATGAATTGTACAAATTTTAATTTAATATTGCTTTAATTTCTATTTTCGATTAATTTAATTAATTTTAATTTCGTTTATTTTATTTTTAATTTAATTAATAATTATTATTTCTAATTATTCCAAGCGAAGCATTGTTATTATTCAATACGCTGTACACTCAGAAAAGTTTTAACACAAATCAGTTTCATAAAGAATTTATGTGTGCTCATAAAATAATAAAACAGCGCTTTTGTGCAATGAAAAAATAATAAATCCCACAAAACATAATTACTAATTTTATCATTATTTACAATATTCGTTTAACTCAAGCAATTTTAATGTGCGCTTGCAAGCATCAAAACGCAATTAAAAGAATATAAAATTGTATAAAAAATACGAAAAAAAATTATCTAATGAAAAATACTCGTACACTGTTCATATGACATATACATATGCATGTACACATGTAGCAGTTTAATGCAGAGATATGCATGTAGATGTGAGCTCTAAGCTAAGCTGCTAGTTTGACAAAAGCAAAAGGCAACCGCGAACAACGACAGTCAGCCAAGCTAATCACTTGTGAAGCAACAATAAGAAATCCAAGAAAAGTTGCAACAATACAGAGCTTACAAATGTTTGTGTGTGTGTGTATGAATTTATGTGTGGATTTATGTGTTTCGAACTGCAACTATGAATGAATGGGACATATCAAAGTGCATAGGACACTATAAAATACAATATGTCATGCATGCACACATGCACTTATACATACATACATATAAAATATTATATCACGAAAAATGTATCCAAAGTTGCAATGATTTACATATTTATATATGTATTTATAAACAAAAAGCATAATAATGCATTTAAGAGTTGCATACAAATTTTTCCGCTCACATTTAAGAGCACACGCCGCTGTGCGAGCGTGAAAATTAAGAGTTTCTCGCATAAAGATGAGCAAAAAGCTCAAAGCTCGCTTTAGGTTAAGAGTGTATTTTAAGTTAGAAAGCTGCTAAAAGCTGTGTTCTTTAGTTTTTAGTTTGTTATTTCTTCATTCGAAATATTTATGTGCGCGCCAAGTGCGGAGCGTCTTGCTTGTACTGTACATTTTTACAACAACAACAAAATAGAATATCAACACTAGCCAATACAAAACAATACAATACAACACAATACAATACATTTGATGTGTGTTATAAACCCAAAGAAAGTTCATTGACATCTTGTGAATACTTGTCGTTTCACAAATAAACATTAAACATACATACATATATATTTTCCCCAACTAAGTAAATATGCATACTATATACATGCATATATAGTATATATACATATGTACACATATTTAAATATGTTATATGCAAACATTAGGTTCCGTTCTATACATATATACATATACATATGTACCTACAGATGTATAAACGCTAAAACGTACTGCCACTGCTCGCCGTTGAGGTGAAATGAGTAATATTTGTATATAATAATAAGAAACTATTTACATGTACGTACATACATATACATACAAGGGTCGTAAAAGCAGTGTAAAAAAATATGTATATAACATAAAATAAATAAATATTAAATACATAAAAGACTTTAATGTTAATACTGATAAAAGACATTAGAGCTTAGACAGCCAATTGCTGCCCTTTTGACACCTGCACCGTTATATGCACAACGATGCTCAACGCATTTGATAATTCCTTGTTCTTTGCTACTTTAAAGCCTATTTTTCAAAAAACTTTAATTACTTATTTTAAGCGCAATAGAAATTATTCACTCGCTCACATAGTCATGCCTACATTAAAAAAAAAAACTTAAAAAGAAATAAAAAAAAATATAAAAAAACAATAAAAAAAATGATAATATTTTTATGTACTTTCGTGTGTTTGCGCAATTGTATTGTCATTTGTTGTATTCGTGTACACGCTGTCTCAGCCGTTGCCAGCATATTAATGACTTTTTATTTTAACATTTTATGTTTTACCGCAAAAAAGTTTTTTTTTACGCTTTGACACACTTTTGACTGCAAAAAGAGCAAATTTACAAAATAAATAGAAATAAAATAAAATAGAATACACAATGAATCGGCGTGAAGAGGAAGTACTGTGCTTCGGTTTCTTTCCTTAATTTTTTTTTTTTTTTTTTTTAATAAGTCAAGTATTGTTGTATGGAGTTACCCGTTTTTTTTTGGTACGCAACATCCTAATTGGGTTTCCCTATATTTGTTTGTGCATGTGTATGTAAAAAAAAAACACACAAATAAATAAATTTGCAATCTTTCGCCAAAGCAATAATGAATCAAAAATATCTTTTTAAAATTCCGCTGCTGAGGTGTTGCAATTTGAGTTCGAATTAGAGTTTCTTGGTCCTCGCAAATTATTTAGAACAAGAGACTGCAAGTTTGTCTGTTCCATTGGCACCTTCACAGCACGTTTAGAGCATCTCATTCCAATTTTTCAACGGTACCGATTTCTTCATAACTTTTACTAGGAGAAGCGCATAGCGCAAGCTTGCACCAGAGCTCTCAGTTTTGTTATAAAGGGTGATGTAACCCTACTTTTTTGAAAGAAAACAAAATTCATATTTAATGGGGAATTTTTATTATCATTCGAAAAAAAATTCTTTGGCATTTTTTTTTTTTTGAAGATTTTTTTTTGAATATTATCTCTTTCCAATGTTGGCCGTGGTAATGTCTCAGATGGTGCATACGTTGAGTGCAATTCTCGTAGACTCGTTCAAGCATTTCGACTGGTAACTGGCATATGACACGCGAGGCAAGATTGTCCGCAAGGACCTTAGACTTTACATATTACCACAGGAAAAAGTTTAACGGTGTGATATCACACGATCTTGGTGGCCAATCGATCGGCGCAAAACGGGAAATTATCTGCACACGGTAGTGTTCTCTCAATAAATCCATTGACTGCTTGTGCGCTGTGTGAGAAATGGCGCGCTCTTGTTGAAACCAAATGCCATCGAGATCGCGATCAAACGCAATTTTTTATATTAGACTATAGTAAACAAACATTTTATAATACAATAGAATATTGCAAAAAGAGGCGTTCCTGCTAAGAAAAATTATCTCATATCTGAATATATAACACAAAAGGATCTCGAAGATGTCGATGCCAAAGCATTTAATATACATAAACAAATAATTCATTTACCTTTATTTTTTTTTAATATTTGTTATAAAAATAATAACTTATAATAGTTTAAATTAACATTAGCATTTCTTCCTCTCTCTCTCCCTCTCATTGCAGCTCAAATTGAAATAATTCCATGCAAAGTCTGTGGCGACAAGTCATCTGGCGTACACTATGGCGTTATAACATGTGAAGGCTGCAAGGGATTTTTTCGTCGTTCACAAAGCTCTGTAGTAAATTATCAGTGTCCTCGCAATAAACAATGTGTTGTCGACCGTGTTAATCGAAATCGGTGTCAATACTGTAGACTGCAAAAGTGCCTACAACTGGGAATGAGTCGTGATGGTGAGTTTGTTGGCGAAAATTTAATGCAAAATTTAAAAATTTAGTTCATTTTTCACTTCTCTGTTTTTTTTTTATTTTTGAACAGCTGTAAAATTCGGTAGAATGTCGAAAAAACAGCGTGAAAAGGTTGAGGAGGAGGTGAAGTTTCATAAGGCGCAACTGCGTGCACAAAGTGACGCGGCGCCGGATAGTTCAGTTTTTGATACACAAACACCGTCGAGTAGTGATCAACTGCATCATAATTATAATGGGTGAGTGAAGCCAAAAAATGTGCTATTTGTTTATTTTATATGAATAAGACTTTGTTTAAAAAGCACATCAAGGCTAATAAACATTTTGTTGGTCCCTTCAGAAAATGGTTTTCTCATTAAAAGAAGTTAAAAAAATTGAATTTAATTAAATAAAATAAAAATTTTAAATATATATGAAAATGGATATAAATAAAAAATAAATTATTTCAACTAATAAAAAAAATTAAGTTAAATGAATATTAAAAGGGCTAACCAAAATTAAATCGTAGACATTAATTAAAAAAAAATACATGAAATAATAGAGTCTAACAAAATTAAATTTAAATAAAAAAAATTTATTAAACGGAAAATAAATAAAATAAAGAAAGAAAATAAAATCGAATTGATAATATAAAATCAAAAAGAGAGAAAAAAATTTATACAAAAATTAATAAATAATAAAAAAATTAAATACAAAATAAATTAAAACAAATATTGAATGAATAAAATAAAATGAAAATAATTTGATTCAAAAATAAATTAATAAAATTAAATAAACTTGAAACAAATACACAAAAAAAATAAGTTGAATTAAATAAAAAAATTTAACATAAACTCAAATACAGTCAAGAAAAATAAAAAAACAATAAACCCAATTTTAACTAAAATAATAAAAAATGATTTAAAACTTAAAATATGAAATTATACAAAATCAGAAGTGAAAAACAAATGCTAAAACCAATTAAAAAATCTAATTAAAATCAAATTACATAAACTTAGTCAAATAATATAAAAACTAACCAAAAATTAATTACAGCCAAATAACAAAAGGAAACTAAAATGAAATAAAATAAAACAGAGTTAATAAAAAAAATTTAACAATAAAATGAAATTGCACAATTAAAATATTTTAAAATAATTTAAAAAAGTAAAATAAGCAAAAATTAAGTAAATTAAAATAAAGTTAAAATAGAATTCAATAAAAAATAATAGGTTAAATAAAATAAAACAAAATTAAAAAAAATTAAATTATATAAAATAAAAAATAAAAATTTAATTAAATTAAAGTTAAAAATTAAATTGAAACAACATAAAATAAAATGAAAAAAATAAAAAAAGATAAAATAAAATAAATTAAAAAGAACAAATTGAATTAATTTTAAATAAATTTTGATATTGTATAATAAAGTAAAAAAATTAAACTAAATTAAATTAAATAAACAGAAAACAAATAAAACAAATTAAAAAAAAAAATGAAATATAGTGAATTTAAATATTATAATAAAAAATAATAAATTTAATTGTAAAAAATAAACTAAAATAAAAAAAATTTAATTAAAACTATTAAAATAAATTTAAATTAAATTATATAAACAAAAATAAAAAAAATCAAATATAAAAAAGAAAAAAAAGAAATAAATTAAAATGAAATCGAGAAAAATTAATTGAAATAAAATTATTTGATGTAAAATGAAATAAAATAAAATAAGATAAAATGAGATAAAATAAAATAAGATTAAACAAAAAATGAAATAATAAAAAATAAAATGAAATAAATAAAATAAAATCAAAAAGGTAAAATAAAAAATAAAATAATATAAAGTAAAATAAAATGAAATAAAATAATTTAAGGTAAAAGAAAAAAAAAAACAAAATAAAATAAAATTAAATAATTTAAGGTAAAAGAAAAAAAAAACAAATATATATGACTTTCTGACCTTTTTTTTAAATAGTTTAAAAAACAATTTAATTAATTTTATTAATTGCTTAATTATTTTAATTAATAATCTATTTTTTATAATCTTCCAACTTATCACAATAATACGAGTATTAATGTTTTTGGTGGTTAATTAATTAAATCTCAATTAATCATACTGTCAACAACTACTTTTCACAAAAAATTTAAAAATGTGCATTTAAGTGGAATAGTGAATAAATCCTTTTGCTATCATTTTCGCACAAACAAAAGCAAATAAAACGGAAAAAATTGGGCGAAATGTGAAATAAATTAGTTTAATTTGCACTTAAAACGGCTTTATGAATAAAAACTTTAATTAAAAACGAAATAATCGCTTAACAAAAAATAAATAAATTTAACAAGCTCATTTTTTTTAATAAATTAAATTATTATGAAAATCTCCAATTATTAATAATTAATTGAATTAAGTTTGCCATTTAAAAAATTCTTTGTCAATTAATCAAAATATTCTGCTAAAATTATTACACATAAAGCGGTAATTTAAATAAAATATTTGTTTAAATTAATACTAATCTCATACGAAATAATTATTTTGACATAAAAAACTGTAAAATTGTAACTAAATAATTATTTAGTGATCTACAAATATTAATATTCCAATTAATTGAAAAATCCGATTGAAAGAAAAGCAATTAAATAATCAAATTTGGATTAATTATCTTTTTAACAATTTTTTTTTGTGCTCAAAAATATTAAAATATATAACGAAGCTACTTTTTCGAATATTTTTTACTAAGCGATTACTTATTAAATTAGTTGATTAAGGATTTGACTTATTAGTATCTTTTTAAATAATTGTAATTATTATTAATGTGAACGAAGATAATCAAAAAGTTTCACATTTCAATAAATTATTAATTAATGGAAATGTGAAACTTTTTGATTAACTAATTCAATTAATTAATAATGAATTCAATGAAATAATAATTAATTCACTTAAATAATAATTGATTCACTTAATTAATAAATTCAATTAAGTAATAATTAATTCAATTAATTAATCATTAATTTCATTTAATTTCAACAATTAAATAATTAATTATTTTTAAGTTAATCAATATATTTGAATATAACCTGTAGGCTTCGTTTTTGTAGTATCTATACACATTTTTATAATTAATAATTAAAAATTTTTACCCATCTCTCTTCACTTCTCTCTCTCTTCCCCACTTTTTAGCTATGGCTACTCAAGTAACGATGTAGGCTATGGCAGTCCCTATGGCTACTCCACATCGGTGACACCGCAACAGACGATGGCCTACGATATATCAGCGGATTACGTCGACAGCACCACGTACGAGCCGCGTGGCACAATAATGGATCCGGACTTCGTCAGTCATGGTAGGGGACAAATATCACAACCAATATACCACGTGCCATTGCGCATATCCATTGACGAATCAACATTTAATATTCGTATAATCACTTACCACACGCATTACCACTACTACTATTACCACCACTTACTACTACTACTACTACTACTACTACTACAACAACTCCTCATCTTAGTCATCATTGAAGTTATCGTGTTAAGCGATCGTATATATATAAAACGTTCATGCCGTGAGCCCATCGCGTTTTCTCGTATTTTGTACACATTTTTTCTTTATTCTATTTACATACATGCCTACATACATATTTGTGTAATTGACGTTGAAAATCAATCTTTTATCGTTTTGCTATATTTTGCTATAATTTCTTTTTGTCAGCGCCTAGGTTTTGTGAAGTGAGTGTTGTGAGTGTGGGATGTAAGTAACGCTGATGCTGTGACCACTGCAGCCACTGGACTTTATATATGAAAACCGTTCGTTATATTTTTGTGATTTTTTTTTTTCAATTGTTAAATGTAATGTGCATAATTCAGTATTAGTTGGGTTGGTATGAAGCGTGTATTACGTGTAGTTGGGCGCGAAACTTCAAAATTTCCAAATTCATTCATTTTTTACATTAACTCATTGGCATACCACATTCATTCATTATTATACGTTATATGGGGTCGCTCAATCGATTATTTATTGTGGGGGTTAGATATACGTACATGTACTCGTACGTATATTCTATTGTAACATACATGTATTTAGTTAAATTGCCGCATCAAATTTTCGCTGTTGTCTACCAACAAAAAAAAAATCAAAAAAAAAATCCAAAAAAAAAAATTCAAAAAAAAAATTTGTTTCAAAATTCTGGTAAATATTTTTTGATTGTATATTCCTTGTTACATTGCTTCTCCTCCCCTCAACAACCAGCTGATGGCGACATCAATGATGTTCTTATAAAAACCTTAGCCGAGGCACATGCAAACACAAGCACCAAACTCGATGCCGTACACGAAATGTTTCGGAAGTCTCAGGTAAAACCGATGATATTTGCACTCAATCATCCATACGGAGTTGAACTGCAACTAATTGATCTTTTAATTTTTGTTTCTTTGTTTTCTTTCCATTTGTTTTGCATATTTTCCTCTACTTAATACTATGTCTCTCTGTGTGTGTGTGTTTGTGTGTGTTGACTAACGGTATTTCGCTTACGCCCATCAAGGATATATCGAGGATACTCTACTACAAGAATTTGGGGCAAGAGGAACTGTGGCTAGACTGCGCTGAAAAGCTAACACAAATGATACAAAACATAATCGAATTTGCAAAACTGATACCCGGATTTATGCGATTAAGTCAGGATGATCAGGTGAGAAAACAACATATATTTATAAAATGTTTAAACCAAAAGTATTCTTATTTTTAATACCATTGATGTGATGTTATGACTTCTTTTCACATGACTCACTACATTTACCATATGATATTGTGATCCGAGAAGTGAAAATTTGTTTTAATATTTGTCACACATAGCCTTGAAGACACTTAAATATTTAAGTAAAAAATCTAAAAAAAAAAAATAAGTTTCACTTTCTAAGTGATGTGATACGACATCACCTAAGAGATGTGATACACTATGATTGAACGTTATGGAGTGATCAATTTCAATTTATTTTATTAATTGAAGTATTTGGCTTGAATATGCGAGTAAAATTTAGTTGACAATTTGAGTTCGGCATGATTTTCAAATATCGATGTGATGTGTTGATCTATGATGTGATGTAGTTATGGGCGATGATTTATGTGCGGTGTGTTGTATGAAATAAATTTCTTTTGCATTACTGTGTGACTTTGGACACTAAGCCTAATATAAAATTTTAGTCTTATTTAAATTCTCAAAAAATATAACACATTATGCCCAAGCCACATCATATGATATAAAGTCACATGACATCATATGTATGAAAACCTAAACCAAATCAAATTCACAGGGTAATAGTTTATAATGTAACGATGTTATTATTAGAATTTAATTGATCTACTAAAAAAAATAAGAAAAACTTACATGGAATAAGAGAACCCCTGAGCATAAGAATCACTATAGAGATCTGGATTATATGACGTGTGTGATTTTTTGTATGCAAGAGGCATATTTCGTAATGCTGAGAGTTTCATGTAATTATGTAAACTAGTTAAAAAAATAGAGATTTTATTAAAATTTTATGAGCTTAATGTAACTTTTCGTATGGGCAGAGAGCATTTTGAGATTATTTTAGTATATGACACGATAATATGGTGAGATAGTATATACGTGCATGATATGATGCTATGATATTACACCATGATGTGATATATTACAACGAGATGATATGACATGGAGAAATATGTATGATGCGACTGCTATGATGTGATATATTATTTTTTATGTCAAAAATTTAAATTATAGAATTATGTAACAAATAATTAACGATTCACCTCTGTATAATTTTCAGATTCTGCTACTGAAAACTGGATCATTCGAACTGGCCATCGTGCGTATGTCACGATTGCTCGATCTCTCACAGAATGCGGTACTCTATGGTGACGTGATGTTGCCACAGGAAGCATTCTACACATCCGATTCGGACGAAATGCGTCTGGTATCGCGAATCTTTCAAACGGCTAAATCGATAGCTGAACTGAAACTGACTGAAACAGAGTTGGCGCTGTATCAAAGTTTAGTGCTGCTCTGGCCAGGTAAGAATAGAATAAATAAAAAATAAAAAAACAAAAGGTATAAATATAAAATACTTTAAACTAAAACAAGAATGTAATATACAAAAAGCTAATAAATTGAATAACTAACAAATTCAAAAAATTAAAAAAATAAAATAAAATAAAATAAAATAAAATAAAATAAAATAAAATAAAATAAAATAAAATAAAATAAATATAAATTTTGTAAAAATAAAATAAAGTTAAATTAAGTAAAATTAAACTAAAATAAAATAAAAAGATATATAAGTAAAATACAAAATAAAATAAAATAATATGTAATAAAAATATAAAATTAAAATAAATTAATTAAACAAATAAAATAAACCAATACAAATAAAATTAAATCAAATAACATTAAATAATATTAAATAAATTTAAAAAAAGACCATAAAATAAAATGAATTAAAACAAAATATAATAAGCTAAAACAAGTAAATATAAATCAAATAGCATTAAATAAAATAAAATTAAATGAAATTAAATTAAATAAAAAAATTTAAATAAACTAAAACCTGAAGTAGTAAATAATAAAAAATAAAATAAAATAAATACTAAAGTAAATTAAAATGAAGTTAAATAAACTGAAATAAATAAACTTAAAATAAATTGGCTTTTAATAAAATAAAATAAAATAAAATAAAATAAAAAATATATAAATATAAAATTATATTATAATTAAAATAAAATAAAAAGAAAATACGAGATATAAATGAAAAAAATATAATAAATTATTCGTAAGGTATACTAAAATTAATTATCTCAACAGAACGAAATGGCGTGCGCGGTAACACAGAAATCCAGAGGCTTTTCAATTTGAGCATGAATGCAATAAGACAGGAGCTTGAAGCGAATCATGCGCCCTTAAAGGGTGATGTGACCGTTTTAGATACATTGTTAAACAATATACCGAATTTCCGGTGAGTGTGTTCAGACATTTTTTTTACATTTTCCGCCCAGAAAATATATAAAAATAAATTTCTCCTTCTTCTACACAGCGATATCTCCATAATGCATATGGAAGCACTGAGCAAATTTAAGCAACAACATCCGAATGTCGTCTTTCCGGCGTTATACAAAGAACTGTTCTCAATAGATTCTCCGCAGGATCTGACATAACATCAAGAAAATTATGTGGAGACTACCAACGCAATCGATGCGCCAGACACGTTGGATGCGTTAACGTAGACACAATGAGTGTGACTACATGATTATATGAAAGTGACGGTGTTACAGGTGGCATGAAGGTGGCTGGTAGCGTATGCAGAGGAGGTGTTATGACGGTGTTGGTGTCGGTGTTGGCAAGTAATGCATTTAATGCATGATTTCGATTGCTGCTGCAATGACTTTTCGTTTAACGAACGCATGCGATGAAAAACAAAATAGCTGTAAACAACAATAACTTTATATACATACATACACAAACAATTATAAAAGAAAAGGAAAAACAAAAAATGAATAACACATTCAACAACAACAATATGGGCAATTTTATTATTGAAACGACATGCAAACGATCCTAAAGCAAGCAGTCAGTCATAGTTATATACATACATAAACAGGAATAGTCCGAAGCTTTTTCTTTTCGAACGCAATTTGAAATGACAACAACAACAGAAGAGTTAATATCAGTTTATACACTAATGAAATAAATGATAAAAGGCAGTTAAAAGGAAAAAATAACAAATACAAAAAACAAAAAAAAATAAAAATAAAAACAAAATAGCAAAAATAGAGCAACAGAGAAACAAAAGGTTTATATATATACATTATTACTTATAATAATTATTATTATTACTTTCAAGCCACATAGAAAAAAAAATAAAATAAAAATAATAAAACAAAAACCAAAATATACAAAAAGAGCAACAAAACTTATAAAGAAATGTAACAGCAAGGAAAATAGTAAAAAAGAAAACAAAAATTTGAGCAGCAAAATATGTTTAAGGATATTTATACAGAATTTAAATAGAAAACAGAAAAAATTATATAATATATACATACATACATAGTTGTAGACCAAACAAAGCCCCAAAATAAGCCGAATGCACACATACACACATACATAAATTCAACAAAATCACAATACACCTCAAAAAGTAAAGTAAAAATACAGTTAAAAAAAGAATCACACGAAAAGTATGCGAAAAAGAAACATAAAATAACACAGAAGAAATGCATTATATCAGATTGTTATAACAAAAAAAAAAAAAAAAAAAAAAAAGAAATAAAAAAATAATTAATACGAAATTCTAAGTAAACAGTATGCGCTCAGTAAGCACAAGAGAAATTTAAACAGCATTTAAAAGCCACCAAAAATNTAAAATAACACAGAAGAAATGCATTATATCAGATTGTTAAAATAAAATAAAATAAAAAAAAAAAAAAAAAAAAAAAATAGAAATAAAAAAATAATTAATACGAAATTCTAAGTAAACAGTATGCGCTCAGTAAGCACAAGAGAAATTTAAACAGCATTTAAAAGCCACCAAAAATGGGCAAAAATTTACAGAAATAAGACAACTAAAACATACTAAAACATCAACATAAACCCAAGCAAAGGAGTAAAACGAATATTCCGCAAAAACAAACTTTCAACTTCAGCAAAAAAAAAATATATATTAAAAAAAATCGTTGCCAATCTCATAACAACAAATTCACTCTCAACTCGAAAACAATGAAAAACAAAAAAAAAAAGAACACGTAAATTCTCTCTACATCGTAATTTGCTGCCTGGCGCAAGAAGCAAACAAGAAATCCAAGTTCAACACGAAACAGCACAATTTTTTTTTTACTTTCCTTATTTCTTCAAAAATTAAGCATAGTCGTTTGACAAAAAAAAAAGAAATCAAATTAAAAAAATATTATCCTAGTTATAAAACAACTGAATCCTGCGAATATTATTGAAAAGACTTTTGCTAAACTAAAAACACTCACACACACATACACACAAACCTATTTGAACACATGACATATACATATATTTGTACGTACTATGTGCAGAAACAATCATATGACCAACACCAACAATAACACATGCAATCTACGCAAGACAGACAGACTCCGTGTGTTTGATTGTACTGTGCTTGGAAAGTTTATTTAATTAATGGGATTGTGCGAGCATTTTTTCTGTGAAATTGACTGTAAGTGCTTTTTTGATCAAACCGGAAAGTGTACAATAAATGATTCAGTTAAATATTTTTAGGCGCAATAGATTTTAAGCTTTTAGAAATGACTGTAATTTGTGCTTTTTTGCTCTTGAAAGAATAAGTATTTTTAAGTAAATTTAAATTTTAACTTCTTGTTTTTATTAACTTTAGGACTTTAGGTATTTTTCTGTAAACTTACAGGCTGAAATATTAATAATTAATTTTTTTATTTTGAATGAAAAATGTTGCAAATTGTTTTCCGTTACTTTCTTGCTCCATGTTAAATTTATTTGTTTATTTTTTATTTTCTTTTATTTTAATCAATTTATTTTTATTTTATTTTTCACTATTTTATTTTATTTTATTTTATTTTATTTTATTTTATTTTATTTTATTTTATTTTATTTTATTTTATTTTATTTTATTTTATTTTTTATTTTATATAATTTTTATGGTGGCTACCGATTTATCGTATCGATCAGCCATTTCAATTCTCTAATGAACGATTTCGATAGACCATCCAGCAGTAGGGTACCCAAATTCTGAGACCTAGCGCTGCCCAAAGCAACAAAGTTAGAGATGGATGTTCGCTTCCTATTTCGCATCATACTTGCAATCTCTGCAGCAATTTCCATGGGGAGCGCCCTGTCATTCTAACAGACACTTGCTCTGCCAGAACTCTATTACTTTGAACATGTCTGCTCATTTTAAAGAGTACATAAAACGTAATCTCTTCACATCCCAATTTGGCCAGGCGTGCCTGAATTTGTGGCGGGGTTATAATTTCATTCCTCGTTATGTGCCTTAGTTTTAAAATGTGTAAACTCGTTGAGTAGCAGTTGGCTAGTGGCTAAAGACCTACTAATGCGTTCTATATCGATAAGAATCCGCTAGGTCGCACCTTGCCTTTTAGGCTCCTAAACAGGAACACACGTGAGAGACATTTTCTGTCAATGAAACAGAAAACAGCTTAGTAGTGACGCTAAAGGCCGCACCTTGCCTAGCTAGTTCATTCGCCTTACAGTTTTTCTCGAATGGCCTCATGAGAAATAGTATGTTCTGTTTGGCCACCACCTGTGGAGACCGGAAATTTTGGAATTCAGTGTAAGCGAGCTCAATGCTTTTACGTATTACTACTTGAGTGTTGATGAAAATAAGTATACACTTATTTTTAAAGCTGGCTCCAATTTGCTTTGCTGTCTCCATGTTCGCAGATAGCAACGTTTGAAAACACACAGCAAACGATCAGTTAGCCTGAAAGAGTGTTCTATAGGAGGGTTCTCTGAAAAGATACCTCCGGCGTATCTACCCTTAAGCTTTGCATCATGCGTGTATATTTTCGGGCTGTCACGCGGTTTGTGGGATAAATGTATTTCCATTCTTCCCAGCTGAGAGCTCGTGTTCTGAAGTATTTATCAGTGAATTGGGCCACAACGATCCATATATATATGTACATATATATGTATGCATAACTTGGTATGAAAGCGTTTGTTCCAATAGCTAAGTGGTCGATTGATTTGACTCTCTTAATAGAAGAGCGGTTCTGGCTGCCGACTTACTAGTATATATCGCCACGCTTAAAAATACTTTATGTCTAGTATGAAATATGTGTTTTTTAATAATCATAAAATGACATGAAACAAAGGCGTTTAAATCTTGGCATTTTAGACAAAATTAGGCACCTTATAAGCTTTCAAACGACCTTCGAGGGATTGAAAATCAGCACAAGTACTGGGTGTTAGACGCGCGTTGAAATTACCTTAACTTTCTAATACACACTTGTAAGAAAAATCAGGTTCAAACTACAATTTTGTTTACAACAAAAAAAAAAAAGTAAATAAAAAATACATAAAAATATATATGTAAAAGTGCTTTTTGCAAAGTTCAAAAAAAACACATAGCTACCACTGGCATTGCCCAATTGTGTTCATAAATATAGTCCAACTACTAATCTTTGTCTATCAAAGTGAGTGAGTGAAAAATCTAATGATTTTATTCCGATTCAATAAGCGAAGTTTTGTTTTACTATTTTTTTTTAATTTTGTAATTCGATTTTGAAAAAAAAAAAATTACAAAAAACTGAGATATTACACACCAGCTGATAGTGTTCAACAAGTAATGGCATAAGAAAGGCATACATTCATATTTATATATTTTTGTCCTTTTATAGCCTTTTTTCTTTTCTAATAATATGCCAACTTTAAGCATATTATATATTATATTAACTATATAAACATGCATTTAATAAGTTTTTTTGTTTAAATAATTTTTTTTTACCATTTACATTGGTACACATTTTTTTAGAGTGTAGTGTTTTACTTTTAATTACTGTAAGCCAAACTTTTTTTTATGACTAACAGTAATTTTTTTCGCGAAAAACGAGATATACGATTTTCCACCACATTTGTGTTCAGCCAGTTGGGAGCTTTGCAGAAAAGCTTTGGCATAAAATATTTTTATCAAATTTACTAAAGAAAAAAGCGTTGAAAAACTGTGTATAATAATATTTCTTTCCGTTTATGTACTCAAATGTCACGGTTTTGTTGGAAAGAAACAGCTCGATTGTTTGAAAAGGCATCTTTTATTGCACATTAATGTTGCGTTTTACGAAATGTACTTAATTTATTATATTTTTTTTTGCAACCATTTTTTTTTATTACAAATTTATGGCGCTAAAAGCTTGAAAGCTCTTTAAATTAGCACCAATTCATTTATTATTCAACATTTGTGAAAAAAAATTGCATATTTAAAAATTTTTTTTTAAAATATTTATTTTTGTAAACTCCTCATCAACTTTAGTTTTGCTGGTTTGATTATTTGAAGCAACAGCTTAATACTTTAACAAAGCAAGAGAGCTTCGAAGAAACTAGCTTTGAATATGAGAAAAATAAGCTTTAACCAAAAGCTTTCACTTTATCACTGAATTTTACACCAAAGTTTATAAAAAAAATACATTTTATGGTTTTCAAATTACAAGTTATCATTTTTTAAGCAAATAATGTAAAAGTTTGCATTCATAAAAACTTGAAGATATAAGATTCAGCGAAACTATCCTCACAAAAATAAAAATACAATTTTTTGGATAAAGCTTTCGATTAATCACAAAATTCACAAAAAACAAAGAATGAAACTTTAACATATTTAAAACTACAACTTTTCAATACTCAAATAATTATTGTAAAAGCATTCAACCGCAAGAGCTTGAGGAAATAAAGCTTTCATTTTTTCAGAAAATCAATATAAAATGCAATGCGTTAAATTATAATTGAAATTGTAAGCTTTCATCATTCAAACAATTCAGAAGTTACTCTTTCCTTGAGTAAATTTTTTACTTAACCTAAACTAACTTTCAAGTACTTTGACTTAAAATCTTTAGAAAAACAAATTCTCGACATATGTGAGCTTTCACAAAAATAGAGCTTTCACAAAAATAGAGCTTTCACAACAAGTAAGCTTTCAATCTTCAAGTTGGTATTGAAAATGTGAGAAAATGCTTTATGCACTTTCAGAACACAAAAAAAAAAAACTTTCGAATTTAAGGCAAAAGCGCTTTCACACTA